CAGTTCAACATCGTTTATTTCTACAGGAGCTGGGTTTGTTGGCGTTTCCACCTTTGCCGGAAGTTGTGCCTTTGCTTCAGCAGTAATATCCAGATTTTCTATCTTCGTCACTGCATTTGTGGTGGTGACCTGTGGCAGTGTTTCATTGGAAATGGCTACCTCAGAAAAACGGCGTGTCCGTCGTAAGCGACGCAGGGGGCTGACACTGGCCGCACGCACATTGGATGCCTGGAAAGGGAAAGATATAGGAAATTAAGGATTTTAAAGCTTTAAGTCGCGACTATCCTAACTGCAAATTCTTAAGGGACTTTTATGGATTTATAGTTGACAAACCAGCTAATCGTACTTCGCCTTAACTTACCTAGAATAATCTCAACAAGAACCATAGTCTACTTTGCCGACCTTATTTGGAAGCCAACAAAGCTTTTTTGCCAATTTAAATTGAAGCCATTCCCAGTTTATCAGCATTTCAGTCAAAAAAATGTTAATCAACATTCATCGACTACCTTCGAAAAATATGTACATATTTTCTTTATTCAGTTGGACCCCAATTTAAGCCCAAAGAAACCCATTACATATGTATATGAAATTATATTATTTATTAGCATTAAGCATGCGTTTCGAAACCGAGAGCTTGTAAACGTAAACTGGCGGTTATAAAAATAGCTCCAAGCTAAATTTTTCCAGATTTTATCGCCAATTTTAAATTTTTTTTTTAATACGTATTTATTTAATATGTAGTATTTATTTATTTTAATTTGACTTTTTTAAGGAATTGCATTTTTTAATGTAATTTTTTATTTGTTATCATCTTCTATTTTTTATTTTCCACTTTATTTTTGTTAATTTTAATTTTATTTTTGTTTTTATTTTTATTTTTTTTATTTAAATTATTTTTATTTACTTTATGTTGTTTTTTATTTTTATTTTTGGTTTTGTATTTCAATTCTTTTATTTTGCCGTTTGGATTTTTTGCCATTTTATTTATTTTTTTTTTAATTTTTCATTAGGTTTTTATGACATTTATTTTTTCTTCACTTTTTGTTTTTATAAAAATTTTTCAATTAAATTTCTTTGCACTTTATTTTGTTGTTTTTTTAATTTTATTATGGTTTTTTACTTTAATACATTTATTTTTTCTCTGTTTTTTATTTATAAATTTTGTTTTCACACGTAAATCCTTCTAACAATTCGACGAATTTTTACCTTCAGGTGAGCGTCCTTTTACAGCTCTCTGAGTTGAATCTCTTCCCATGGTCCTGTGTAATATTCCTGCCAATTTTTGTTTGATTTTTTGCCGCTACTGTACATTACCAGTTTGTTAGTATCTTTCACATATTCATACTTTAATGCATGAATACACTCACGCATAAAAATGTGAGAGTTTA